ATATCTGAATAGATACGATAGGGTGAGGATTTCTGAAGGATTAACGGCTGATGTCAAGCCCACTATCTACTCAATTTCGATGACTAAGTATAACTTACTGCATGTAGATCTTTCACATCAATTAGTTCCGGATTGTACTTCATCAGATGAAACGAGACTTTAGTTGAGAAACATAGATTGAACCCAATCGAATCAGAGATTGCAACTTTGAAATCACCATCGCGATAGCTCTACGAATGATTCGCCACAGAGCATGTAGCAAAAATTGTGACACCGCCCCCCAACGCAACGAGGAAAACACGAAGCTAAAGCTAGTGGGAATTGTTTAGTGCTGGAACCGCGTCAGTACATCTATCAATATCTATGAATCACGAACTATAATACAAATAACACAAATACGCCAGTGATACACCTATCATGAATTAGGTAAATTCTCACACGTGCTAGCACACGTTCAGCACGCCGATACATAGCTAAAATAAAACACGGCGTAGAGTCAAATTTCTCGAATGATGCATTGTCAACAAGTCATAGAAACACATGATATGCCTGATAAGTCATTGGTCAAAATTGAATAGTCCAGTTATCAAAGCTTGAGTATTAGCAACTTCTAAGAGGCTTCATAAATTTATGGAGTTCATGGCATGAACAGTCTGCGAAATAGATCGTAGTGGCGGGCGAGATTTGAATTCATCTTCCTTAAATCTCGGACGTGCCACTGTGGCTCAGCCACAATTAGTTTCCTAAACATTTCAACCTCTAAGAGGCAATGGCCCATTGCCAATGGGAGATCATTTTTGAGACGGTTATCTTGGAGAACTTGGTAAATCTTGCACTTCCTCAACAGCGCGTTTGGTGCACTCGAGGAAAACGGCCAACCCCGAAAACCCTCCGATTGCAAAGCGTGAAGCACTGAGGGCTTGCGGGGCGGCCGTAGGCCGCCCTCCGTACCAGTTGCTGAGTGGATAAACTTTCGAGGTGATTGGTGCCGGTGAACCCTCTCACTGGTGCGGATGAGCCCCCTATGCGCGCGCTTTTCGGACTGCGCTCAGATATGATTGCGCTGTGATGTGGGGCAGCCCTGCATTTTGGTTCCAAGGAAGGTATTGGCAAACTTGATCAACAGAGTTCGTCATTTACCCGGTCCGGTAAAGGATCTTTCCTCTAATAGTTGAGAAGACGTATTGTTGATCGTGTGGTATATACAGTCACTCGTGATTTTACCTCGTGACAATGCCAATGACAAAGAGCTCAAGTTTAATAATAGCACCGATCAATCGATCAACTCTAAGCCTTCATCTGCTCCCCGACCGAAGGTATCCTCGAATGCATCCTCATGCGAAGGAGAGGGAATTCGATCGAGTGAGCTGAGTGCGAGCTGTGTATGTTATTCATGTCCCACCACAGCACATCGCCGAAATTGAAGTTTCTGAGAGGGTATCTTAGCGAGCTCATTAGTCAGGCGAAGTTGAAATTTGGAATTGTGGAATTGAGGTTGAAAAGGTGTAGTCCTTATAATTTATACCCATGGTCATAACTTCCGTGTGGGCTAGTCGTGCGTAAACCTAGTCAGTGGTGGATTAGAAGGTCTATGATGATCATTTTTCTGTCCATTGCTACGCCATCACCATCATCTGTCAACTGTCGTCGTTAAATACTACTACTGCTCCATCGTCGTTTGTTGCATACGATAGTACCATTTCAGTCTATTAATGCAGCAGTTTTGAATTGAGTTTTCATGTAGCGGTGAGTGAGCGGCTCGTCCCTGCGTTAGACATTGTGTGGTAAGCTCTATGATCCATAGGATGGTTTGGGGACGCTCTCAGTCAGCGTGGCTGGAATCCTCGAGATAGCGAGCATTGTGCAGCTAGCTGGCATCGTTCTCTCCTAAACGTAAATCAGGCCAACACTTACAGTTCCAGTCTTGAACTATCCATCTTGTGATAAGTAGGGAGAGTCTTTCCGATGGCCGCTGTTGATTCATCACATTGTGGACCTCCTCCAACGGGTATATACTCCTTCTTGTGCTATTGACAAAGAACTGCGGGTTAATCCAAATTCTTTCACCCTCACCCCTGCCTAGTTTGTTTCCCCTGTATGAACTCTCTAGGGGCACCTGGTGGCGGGAAACCCCATGCGACAGAGGAGCAGACTATGAGGACCAAAGGGAGGTACCATCCGCATCATAAAATACCTTGTCGTATTAGTGAGAGCTTAGAAGTTTTCGGTAGTCTGCTTTCTGCTGACGATCTCTCACTCATTCAGGTACCTTCACAATCTGATAGCGAATCCTACAGACCCCGTCGAAGCCGCTAAGGCAGCAGCAATGTCTGTCGCTCGTGGGACAGGCCCCGAGACAGTGGAGGAGCGTCTGGCACTGGACGGCCACTCTTCTCAATTGCCGTCTGAGGCGGCCATAGGTGATACGGTAGAACACCTTATCTACTCCTTGTACGGAATTTCTCTCACACTAGTCATATAACATCACCGTTTAAGGGATGTGAATCGTTCTAGATACCTGAAAGACAGGGGTGTCGACCGGTGTCGACCTAAGACCCGTTTCTAGTCCTCTAATATGTTCCTCGGCGTGCTAGGGTTTCCAGTACCCATCTGCCATCTAGGATTCTCATCGCTAGATCCATTGATAGTCCTTGGATCTTTGAACATGTTCACTTCATGCTGCTGCTCAGGACAGCTCGTACACGTTATAACGTCGAGCAAGCCCACGACACTGCGCCAAAAGTGGTCTTCACAAGGGCTGCTTGACCTCGCTTGTGGCAACATCTTCACGAGCTCTCTGCTAATCAACTACGCCAAGTTGAGAGGGATAGAGCTCGTCAGCATTATACGGGAACTGAAAGAGGCTGCGGCTACTGTCTCAACCACTGGTTGGGCACCCTCGATGGTGGAGCATGTCAGAGAGCTCATGAAGTTATCCACGATTAAGAAGCTGGACATGAACTATGTCGGTTTCTTCTGCTGCACTCTGGGCCTCATGGACATGCTGGAGTCCCATCAAATGGTAAGGCGGTGCCTTGGTGCTTTGCGAACAGCTCACGCAGTAGCACACATCCTTATCGTTGGAGGGGTTCACGTGCAAGACTAGTTCCTGTCAGCAGTTGTACTATTCGCCTACTACTTTACATAAGCCTATTAGAAGACCATCGCAAGCACTTATCCGACCTATGATACGTCGCTCACTCATGAAAGTGCTCGAGATGCTGC